TTAGGGTTCTGATTTCAGGTTGAACTGCATTGCAGCACCCTATTACAGGTGTCAGTCAACTACAGACTTGCTCCACCAGTTCAGCTTTGTTCAAAAAACCTTGATGTGCTAGTCATTAGGTATTTTCTGCCCTTCTGCAGCTGGCTTAAACATGTAAAACCCATACAAAATGCCTGTCCTCTGCTCTTATTTCTCAAAAGGCAGTCACGTACCCTTGCCTTGTCTGGATCAAGTTTGTTTTGCTGAGAGATCCCCAAGCACACAGATCTGTTGGGAACCACAGCCTGTTACCTAGAGCTTCTAATTCTGGGCATTCTGTGGTAGATCCCACACGCACAACTCCTTATCCTGCTGAGTAGTTCCCTGTCACTTTGCAAACACAGTGAGGCTGGTGACAGTGCCTTATTTCAGCTTACCTATTTTCTTTAGGTTCTTTTTACAGCCTAAGGAGAAAGATGTAATTCAGACCCAAAGTGCAATTTGGCTGTAGCCCATCGCAGGAGCATGCTGCTCACTAACTACAGACCTCAGCCGAGTGAGCAATAGTAAATACTCTTTGTCACTGCAGTTTTGGTGCTAGTACTAGTCTTAAGGAGTGTTTCGGGTCACCTTAGTGAGAAAGCTGTTGTAAGTCTGTATTCTAGCATCCATATTCTAATTTACTTTATTTACAATGAGAAAAGGAAAAGGTTTTGGCACTACAACCCTTAAAAATGGGCATCTGCACTGGAAGTACTTTTTCTAGTGGCAATGGTTATCTGAAGTGTAAGAGAATTAAAATCAAATGCACGTGCTACGTTGCATTTCCCTGGGCAAGCTGAACTCTTCAGACTTGATATGCATTTTTCCTACTGTATTTGAATGAGGAACACTAGGCAGTATAACAGAAGTTCATGAGTGTTGCATCTGATGTGTATTAACAGTATTTACTGAAATTTATAATAACAAATTACAAATATGCTACCATACATAGGAAGAATTTTACTTTAGATTGACTGCCACTACGTGACTGCTTTCTGTGCACTGACACGTAGTAAGCAGAGATTTTGTGCTGGTGTCAGAATTACGAGGTTAAGTATTGTTTCTGTCACTGAAACATAACTGAATTTTGGTGCATGAACTTTGAATGTTTAATACAAAGCATTTTACTTAGAAGATAGCCTCTAACAGCCCTGTAGCATCAGCTTTTGAAAATACAAGATTCTGTAATTTCTTTATCAAAATACCTTGCACAGAGAATATAACAAAGGACAGTTAATTACAAGTTGTTTTATCTAACTTTTTAATTACTGATTTAATGATACAATATATATTCTCTTGGGCTTTTTTTTTTTTTTTTTTTCTTAGTTTTATCTTAGAGACTCAGAGCCATGTATTCCAGTCTCAGAGAACTCGAGATTTCGTTGTGCTTGGAACTTGCTAAATGCCTGTAGGAGGGACTGTCCAAGCCCCTGTTCAAGTGATGACTGGTCCTGTACAGAAGTGGTCAGAAAGGGAAGGTGATCTGTCACACAACAATGTGGTGTCTGAACAGCACCTTCTGAGAGAGGGAACTTCTTAGAACTCTGCAGAGTTCTGGCTCAGAACTTCTGCAGGTTTGTGTACTGCTGACTGCAGTTCAGATCCAAGGACAGAGACAAAATTATCTTAAAAAGCTGAAGTTGAGAGCAATGTTTTTTACTTGCTTGAGAAGAGTGGTTGATAGACTAGACAGAGCTGCTACTCAGCAGATCTTGATGGGATGGAACATGTGCTAGATGGCGTGTGAATATCCATCCCAACCTAAACTGTCCTGTTATTCTGTGATTACTCAAAAAGCAGGCAGTATAGCTTTAGAAGTTAATTGTTAAAGTTACGCTTGGGAAAACACAAACCCAATAACATACAAGAAACCTTAATTTTCCTTTAAATTTTATCTGCAACAAACATGGTCATCACAAAAATTTGTCATGTTAATTCTAAACTGTTAGTCTTTGTTTTTACCAGTCTTCAGATGTCATTAAAGGTTAAGGACAAAATTAGGATGGATTTTGATTAGTCTCCCTCTGCTGTATTTGTTCTAAGACAGAGTGGACTCTGAGTTTCTGTGAGTTCACGTTGTGCGAGAAGTTTGAAGAAATTGTGTCATCAATTCTTCAACTTGATTCAGTATTAAAGAAAAACATGATGTGGCTACTAAATATCTCCAAGGAGCTGATTTTTAATTAATTCTAGCTCATAAACTCCAGGATTAGCGTACAAGCTGTCAGGAAATTAAATGTGTGTTCAAAGAATAGGTACTGCAGTTTGGAGTATGTTGCTTTTTAACTTTTGCTCATTGAAAAAAATCCATTCTGGGAGTGTTGGGGACTGTAGTGACTAAGGTATAACAGAAAAATCTATGTATTTTTTATCACCTTGCATTCAAGCTACTGTTTTTAGAATGGCAGAAAGAGTAAATCAGCACAAAAAGATTAGATTTCTTTTTACATCCTCCAAAGTGTGAGGTCACCCACTGCGTGTTTATTTGAAGATCTGGACAAAGAACTACTAGTATTAAATGCCATGGGTTAGAAGGAATTTGTAAGACTGCGTGATAGGTGTCTCTAATTGGAGGTGGGGATGATTTAGCAATGACTCCAAAGTCAGTTGGTGAAACAATTCCCTTCCAAGGTTCTGAAAGAGGAATCACTGAAGGTATCACTGAAACCTTCAAGACTGACTTCTTCTAACTTGGTCTACTCTCATTAAATGGTTTTCCACAGTTTTCAGTTTCATTGTTGGATGGGATAGATAAAGAGGGAAGAATCTTCTGTTAGCATTCTGTTCTTCAGAAAAGCACATTGTTTGATTTGCAGCTGTGTTGGAAAAGGTGAGTAATCTGGGACTATTTTCTTCTAGGAACTCAGCTTCCTTTTGCCAGAAGTGCGTTCAGCTTTTTCACTGGCTTGATGGGAGATGCTTACCACTTGGCTCCTTTGAAGGTGAGGGAGAACCTGCCTGAACTCGAGCCTGTGCAACCTGCTCTAGGCAAACCTGCTTTACTAGGGGGGTTGGACCAGGTGATCCTCAGAGGTCCTTTCCAACCCCTACCATGCTGTGGTTCCATGAGGTTGGTGTGTATCCTTCCTGCAGCCTTCAAGTGAGGGCTGTGACTGAACTTTGAGCAGTTCATTACCCAGTTGAGTGCCATCAACTGGTGTCTGTCTTCAAGTTCTCTCTGCCTGCAGGAGTCACAGGTTTCAAAAACCCCTCAACATTATCCCTCTACACATTCACACAGGAGTTAGATGTAAGAAAAATAGTGTCTAATTTCACTGTTAAAGATGTTTGTCTGCATGAAAAATAGGAAAGTTTTGTAACCTGTTAACATTCTGCTGTGCCTTACCTGTACCAGGGGGATTATACTAGTTTAAGTATTTTGAATGAGTTTGATTATTGAAAGAGGAAAATCAGGGAAAGCCTTCTGATGCAGTTGCTGTCATAGCATGGTCTTCTGCTGACCACTTGCCTGATACAGAGCGACATTATCATTAATGGACACACCAGCAGCCAAACCCCTCCCTCCACTCCCACATCACACACCAGAGATCCAAAGTGCCAGACAGCCAGAGGGAAGAACAAGTCAATGCACTCACCCACTGCGAAGGATGTGAAGAAGGGAACAGGCCAGCCAAGGAACCATGCCATGGTAGGTGGATTTGGGCAGACAAAAAGCCCATTTATGTAGAATTTCCACAGAGAGAGACTCATGATCTTGTTCCACCATCCTGGGAACACCACTTGCTATGAAGAGTCAGGGAACCCTTTCAGTAACCAGAATCCCCACACAGCACATGCATTATGTAAGTGGAGTCAGTTCTTATATAGGTGGTTGCCCCAACTCCAGGTTCATGTGGAAGGTGAGGGCACCTGGTGGTGATCTCCTCATCAGTTCCCACCCAAGACTGGCCAGAGCCTGGATGAAAACCAGTCAGGAGGGTCTTTTTTGCCTGGCTGTGGACATCATCCATATGCCAACCCTCATTCAGGGCTGGGGGTTTAACCTCGGCACTTCATACGAGTACTTGCAGATAACCAAGTCAGCATGTGTCTCTTTCCTGACACTTGTGACAAAACTTTCTTACATGTGTCTGTAATGCAACTTCAGCTTCTTGTTTTTGTTAAAAAGGGCGTATACAGAAAGAAAATATCATTTAAATAATCTCTGTTTATACAGCATTAAAACTACAACATTATCTCACAGTAACCTTTTCTTTCCACTTGTGTGCATTCAGCATAATGGAATTTCTTTATATTACTCATATGCACTGTAGATAAAATGCTGTTATATACAGTTCTATGTGTCCTTTTAGAGAAGTGAAACTCCAAGGTTATGTTTTGTGCATATGCAGGGAACAGAATTTAGGCCATATATGTACCCCTTGGCCCTGGGGATATTTTAGCAACCTCTTTAAACCCTTGTTAGGTGATGCCTGTCATTTCCAGCAGGGAACAAGTGCAATTTGGAGTGCAAATCTTCATTCAGCAGCTCTTAATCTTTCTATGAAAGGGACTTCCAAAACGAATTTGATTTGGTGTCTTTTCAGGGCATGTTTTACAATTTTAAAGATGATTCAGAATGTAAATTGGCAAAACTTGAACTATGATTAAGCAAAGCATCTAATTGGAAGGTTTTTTCAAAGGCTTCCATCTATTGTTATGCTGCAAATTATTTATCTATTATTTTTGTTAGTGTTACATTTTACCTATGAAAAGTGATCCCCAAAGCTTGCAAATAAATGGAAGCAATACATTTAAATGCAAATGCATTATTCAGATTTTAAGTAATTGATACTGCTCAAATGTGGTTTTGGAATAGATGTGATTGTTGGAAAGACCAATATATCTTATTTTGCTTTCTTTTAAAAAGTGATTCTAAATTACTGCATTTTTGTAAGCCTGTAATTCTTTGGTTTTTAGGAGTTTCTACCTTGGTGAAGATATAGTGGACAAGTGTTGACTTGAAAGCTGCTTTTAGGATGTCTGAAGATGACGAAAAAGTTAAACTCCGTCGAATTGAACCTGCCATCCAGAAATTCATTAAAGTGGCAATTCCAACAGATTTGGAAAGGTTAAGAAAACACCAAATAAATATTGAGAAGGTTAGTGCTCGCTTTATACTAATGTAGTTCTTTTTACAGTATAGAAACAATCACGCTGGAAGACTATATAGAGATTTCAATGAAAAGTTGATTATGAAATGCTTTAATTCAAATTTGATTAAAAATGAAACTTCTGTATTGTCTGGTAATTCAATGCATACAAAAGCTTTTGCATTTGTAGTAATTAGTCAGAGTGAGGAACATTGCTGGTTTGCTTTCAAAACTTATTCTAAAGAAAGCATCCTGATATTCTTACTTTATTTTGAAGTCACAGTGGTTTGTTGCCAACTGTTCTGAGTAACTTGCTGTTTATACCTATATTTTTCTTTATACTTAAATTGACTTGAGAGAAGAGAAAGATTAAATTATTTAAGTAAACAGAAAAAGAATTATATCAAAATTGTAGCATGTTCATGTGCGTCTTGTTGACATTAGCTCACACTTGACAGTGGAACTGAAGCTGGATTCTTGCATCCACTGTGGCAATGTCTGTAGTGGTAAAATAAACATGCCCAGGACAGCTGTCTGGCATGAAACGGCCCATGTCCATATGATTAAGTCCTCATATTCTGCAAACCAGGGTGACTGCATCCACATTGCTAGTGGGGAATAGCCTCTGTTCTGTGTTCATAATTCCTTAGCTGTTCTCAGAAACTCTTTATGTGAGAGAGCCAGAGACAGTTCTAAGAGTTTCACAGCACAGATGACCAGATTTCAGCCTTGTAACATTCTCAGTCTCTGTTTATTAGTATATCCTGTAGAAACAGATAAATTGTTTTGTTGAAGAAGTTGGCAAGAGATTTGCTGGAACAGGTGGCACCAGTAAAAAAAGGAAGAGAGCGAGTGAGTCAAAAACACACAGTCATAACACCAACATTGTACTGGAAGTTTGGAAATGACCGTACAAGACATATTTGTGTAGAAAAGGTTATATTTACCAACACAGAAAAATCAATGAGAGTGAGTGTCCGGAGCTCTGTGCGGTTCTGCACTTTTCTGGAAGATCATGCATCTTATTAATTTGACTAGGCCTATTCACAATCTATAAAATCAAGTGCATATGTAAATCTGGATGGTGTAGGACAACCAGCTGCATTTTTTAGCACCTGAGAGGGGATGAAGAAACTGGAAGAAAACTGGTGAACATGATTTTGGTTTCCTGAAAGGTGTGGTCTGAAGGGTGTGTATAATGTATTGCTGAAACTTTTTGACATTTTGCTGTTGTAATTTGTTCACAACTTTTACCACAACTTTACTGTAACTTTACTGTAACTTTACCAAGTGGGTGCCTTTCTGGATGACACTTTCTGTGGCAGGTTTCTGCTTTGAGCACTTTAGGGATGGAAATAAATGTATTTGTTTCTGAGAACACAGTTGGGTAATAATGTGTTGTTCAGGTGATAGTAATTTCTTTTAATAAGAAATGCTTAGTTTAAGTGAGAGTAAGTGATTGATAGCTTGGTGATAACTTCTTTTTAAAGCAGTGACACACGTTAGGACACTGGAGTTATTTTTGTGGGGTGGTCTTTGGACTGTACATTTTGCCAAGGCTCTAAAGATCTGCTGGTTTTCGGCCAAGAGGCATGATTCTGAAAAAAAAAATTGGTTTGCAGGTACTCAGTACTGGTTGAACTTCACCAGCTGAAGATTGCTAAAGATTTACACAACACTAAGTCATGTTCCTGTGCTTAGAAATTAGGAGATTTTATTACTGGAATTGCTAATTGATTGGTGCTGAATCTGAGAATGAAAACAGGGAGATGATTTTTCTGTGCCCTGACTGTCTCTTCCTCCGAGTTTCCCTTACCTGTCCTCAAGAGCATACTCTTCTCACCTCATATAAATAAAGGATAAAGAATTGGGTGTGGGGAGCTTGTGAAGAAGTACCTTGGATGGGAGGTGAAAGTGCAGAAATGGTGACTGACTATGAGATGAGAGAAAAACTGGGATAGAGGAAGACCTGGGGCTGCTAGGGCTAATGATGGGAGACAATCATTTGACTCTTTCCTGGTAAGTGTGTAATAAGGATACAATCAGGATATGAACTGTGATACTCATAAACTGAAAAGTGTGTAAGTATAATGTTTGCCTGAAGCAATAACTTCTGAATGAGATGCCCTATTTTTTCAGTCCCAGCATAGTGTTTACTCTTTGTTATTCCATATTTGTATAATTCATTACATTACCTAGATGCCAGCTGATTCAGCAGTTTTTTTTTCCTTGGAATCAGCCAGTTTGCAGCATCCCTGTTCGTTAGTGGCCAGGAGCAGCTTTCTGTTCTCCAGCTTGTCCCACAAAGAACAGCTAATTTACGTTGCACGGTAGCCAGGGCACAGAGGAGTCAGCATTCGCCTGCACTCGGGTGAGCTGGTGGGGGACCAAGGAGCCCCAGCTGTTAAGTTGCCCTGGAGAGGTGTACAGCCCCCAGGGGCTCTGAGCACGCACAGCTTGTGCCTAGCAGTGGTCACAGACCTAGCTGAGGGCAGCTGCTGAGGAATCATACAGAATCAGACAGAATTCCTAGAGGAGAGCATCAGAGGGATAGCTGTGATAGGGTGGCACAAGGCTACAGCCTTGCCTGAGAGGAACAAAGGGGTGGTCACTGGAAGAAGGTAGTCTGAGAGCTGACCTGCCTGGACAGAATGGGAGGTGATTAGCAGGACACGTTAGTCGAACACAGGTGGTTTTGTTGCACTTGGAAGGAAAAGACAGGCTTTTGGTGTGTGTAAGGTAGTAATGAGGGAGAGACAATGAAGGGGGTGGGTATAACTGTTACGCTGCTTGATTTCTTTGGAAAAGTATTACTTTGTACAGCTAAAGAGATTCTTTGCTGAGTGTTGTCCATCTGTGTAAAGCCTCCCTCATACAGGATATGTAAACACCCTGTCAAGAAGCTTCAAAAGGCATTGGGTGCTGCAATGGGAAACAGAGACATGATGAGTTATTGCCCTGTGCTGTACTTACCAGCATGAGAGATGATCTTGGGAACTGCTGTGTTTTGCAGAACCTGGTCAGTGAGGAGTGGTAGCCACTTGCTGGTTGATCCTCCTGAAAATTCTTTAGTATTTAGACAAATAATAATTACACTGTATCTAGCTGGATAGTATAGTCGTGGCATCAGAGAAGGGGTGAAACACGTTCCACTTAATTCAGCCGTGTGTTGGTCAGCTGAAGTCTTTATTGGCTATTCATTTACATCAAGCATTTCTGTTCTGCAGACAGAAAGGGATATCGTTGGAAGAACGGTTTTCTGTGTCTAGAAGAAAATGCAGAAAATATTAGCTCTGAGGATAAAATGAGTCTTTAGGTTAGTTCTGATCTAGCATTTTGTTCAAAGCATTGTCAGGGAGACTCATGCTTAGCTGGGGTTTGATTATAGGCAGTACAGGCTGCAGTGCCTCTGCCGTGGCTTTCAGCAACCGCGTTGAGATACCAAAAGGCTTTAGGAGCAGTTGAATTTTGTATTTTGAATGTAAACATCTGATGCAATTTAAAGCTTCTGGTTTGGACATTTTTTGAGATTTTCAGGTTGATTTTTGGAGTTACCAGTGTGAATGATCTGTTCAGTCACCATAATAAAATTTGCATACCAGAAAAATCCTTAAATGATAGTAAATAGTTCTTAAAGTGCTAACTGTGCTTCCTCCAGAACAACACTTTTATGAAAGCAAGTATTGGTAGCAACGTTTGGTACAGATTTGTCGTTCAGATTTCAGAACACTATTACAGATTTCTGCATCCCTAGACAGTGTAAATTCTGGAAGATTTGATGTTTGAATTAGTTATTAATAGAATTGTTAGAAACAAGTAACGATGGATAAAACTTTTAAATGAACGACTGGTAACTATACCAGCAGGTATTCATCACTGCCAAAGACTTTGGAACTTGTGTGTGTTGACAAAAAATGTAAGTCACAAAGTTTTATGAGACGTAGCACATCCAAGTATAAAAATAGTCCCTAAATGACAGGTTCTTTCAAAAGTCCAACTTGGTAGAATGTTCTTAAAATTTGAAAGTGTTTTTTTTTTGATTTTTTGTTTTGTTTTTTAAATACACTTCTGGCTATAATGACTATAATTGTTCCATAGTTTATTGATACATTTATGAAAAGGTGAGAATAAAAATATGGCAAATCAGAATTTGACATCTGTCACTGGGCAGTTTTAGATTATCAGAACACTAGCCATAGTTCAGTTGAAAAACTTCCAGCATAATTTGCATTTTATGTCTTTTACATGTATTATAGCCATGATGAATGTGTTACTGGACTTTTATGACTTGTCAGCATCAGCAGCTTAAATGGTTTTCTCTGAAATACTTTTTGTAAAATTAACTTTGAGCCGTGTAAACCAAACACTCCTAGAGGTAAAAGGATAATTTTGTAAAATCTGAGCCTGTTTAGTTTACAGGCTACTTTTAAGCAAAAATCACTAATTATGTCAAATTGCTTAGAGCAGCAACATTATTTACTTATGATGAAGCCAATATCTCTAACCTCATTTCATGAATATTGATTTAAACCTTAGGTTCCAGAGATTGTCCAAACAATTAATCTACTAAATCACTGTTTGAAGAAACTATAAAATCAATATATAATGAAATTTGACCTTGAGTACACCTTTTCAGAGGAAGTGGCTACCATAAAACCATTGTCATTGCTTCTCAGCTATTTGAGAGTCTGAATTCCATATGACAGTTTCTGAAGACTTAAAAAATACTTTCTTAAGAAATCAGTTATCTATACTTGTGGGTTTTTTTTGTTTTTTCTTTAGATGTTTTCAAAGAGTTCTTGATTTCTAATGTACATTCTATGGCTTGGATGGTCTTTCACTCCACAAGAGGGAATAAGATGAATGCTTGTCCAAAAGAGTCACAACTATCTGTTAGCCTCTGCTAGCTGTAAGCAATTGTCATGGTACTACAGGAGGATGCAGATTTAGGCATGCTGCCCTAAACTACACAACCATTTAAAAAAACCCAAAACAATAATAATACAAGATGCTGTGACATCCTTTTCTCTATTGCTTTCAGTTTTAATTTCATTTCCTGTGGCTATACCAAAGTTAAAGGATGTTGTGCAAAACACTTTTTACCATTGGCTAGGGACCATTGTTTTGATGGGAAGATACATAAATGAGAAATTGAGATACCTGAGTCTTAATGCAGCCTTCATCAGAGTATATACATTTGCATAAGCCATGTATTGTAGAGCTTTTAGAAATGTTGGCGAGTGCTACAAAAGTTAATGCAGAGAATACGGCAACCTTTGACTTCTCTCCATGTCCACTGAGTCCTTTCAAGGAGAAATGGAAGGGATCAAAAGTATGAAGCTTTCTTCCTAAAGAGAGCTCTCAAAAGAGAATGGGACAAAGAGGAAAATAGAGTGTCTAAGAGTAACCTTTTTTGTATGTGGAATATAGTCTATTTGGTTATAGCACAATTGTGATTAAATATCACAGAATCATGGATCTACAGAGTGGTTTGAGTTGGAAAATTTCTTTCTTATGTCCAGTGTGAACTTACCCTCTTTTTGTTGAAAACTGTTGCCCCTTGTCCTGTCACTACAGGCCTTAGTAAAAGGTGTCTGTCTGTTTTTCTTGTACTGGAAGGCCACAAGGTCTCCTCAGAGCTCTCTCCAGGCTGAACAACCCCAGCTCTCTCAGCCTTCATAGAAGAGGTGTTCCAGCCCCCAGACCATTTTCATGGCCCTTCTCTAGGCCTGCTCTAGCAGGTTAGGATTCCATAGGTGTTTTTACTTCATGGACCTCCCTTGGTTTTACATACATTTGTTAATGACCAATAATGTCATTACAATCTCTTCTCAAGGTTTGCTACCCTGGAGTCCCCCAGAGTCAACACTGCCCAGGAGTACCACCTACTTTGTGTTGGATGACAAAGGGGAGTCAACAAGGAGGAATTCTCTTACCACATGAATGTCATTGCTCTGTGTGAAGTCATTAGATTCTTTGAGGTCATCACTAGCATACTAGGAAGTTTGAAGCAAAGTATTAAAACTTCTAAAGCAGATCAATGATGTATCATTTCTGGTAGAAATGATAAAGAGCAGCAAAGTTTTCCTGAGGAATTCTTCTTGTTGTTTTTAACAGAAAAACAGGATATTTTATTATTTGGTATGTGGACGATATAGTATAGTCAGTTGAAATAAAAAAGGTAATTTTCCCCCAAACGCCTTCTGTTCCTCCTTCAGAAATTCTTGTTTCAGTGCTCTTTCAGGGATGACTCAGTTGAAAGGTCTACTGTTGATACAGATTTTTTTTTTTCCATTTTATTTGAAAGAACAATGGCCGTAATTCTAATGGCATAATAGTTTATGCAGAAGTTGCTAGTTTCCTGGAAAAATCACTTTAATCTCATTTAATTGAACACTAAACCTTTTCCTTTTCCATAACACTACAAAATCCTAACATGAAAGAACTTTTTACACTGAAAATTAGTAACTTCAGAGTTCTTGTAGTATTTTAGGAAGCTGAGTAACTTGTGATCCTTATTGCTGTGGTTTCGAAAATTATAAAAAAAAACTAAGGAAAGATATGGACTGTAGATAAAGTTTTTTTTATTGGGAACAAAGTGTATTGTAAAATTGAGGAATTAAACTTTATATAAAAATACCTCACAAGTCATGGTAAATATTTTGTCTCATTACTTAATTAAAAAGAATGTTCTAATATTGTCTAGTATCGTAAATGCATTTTTTGATGGCTTCAGCACATATTCCAGGAGTCACAGTTTCTACTTTTATTATTTTGCTACTCTTTTTTTTGTGATAAAGTCTCTGTGTTATTCATGACAACTGCCAGTAGCAGGGATTGATGTGTTTTCATGATGGAAAGGTTTATATCTGTGACATGCAGTGCTTTTGCAAAACCTGCTCTCTGCTGATGGAATAACCACTCTGGTCTCTGTCCCGTGGGAATGGCTCTGTGGACAGTTTCCTCCTGGAGTCAGCAGAACCTCATGCAGGTGCCAGGTCTGCCCTGATGGTTCCCCTAACTGTGTTTGTAACTAAGTGTAGACAGTGTATAGTGAATGCATTTTTCTTTGTAAGTAATACCAGATACTTTGCTGTCTGATGTGACCAGTACTGCTTATCCCCTATTCCATTCCTCTTTCCTCCTTCTGCCCTTTGCTTTACTGACCACAAAGTGATGTATGTCACAGCAGTATCAGAATGCTGCAGTATCTCTTTGTTGTTAAAAAAATGATGCTGAATCATAAAAAAATAGAATAACTGTGGTTGGAGAGGACCTTTAGGATCATCAAGTCCAACCACCATCCCACATTTTCCTGTCCACTAGACCATAGCCTCAAGTGCTACATCTGCTCGTTTTCTGAACACCTCCAGGGATGATGACTCCACCACCTCCCTGGGCAGCCTGTTCCAGTGCCTGACCACTCTCTCAGGGAAGAAATTCTTCCTAATCTCCAATCGAAACCTCCCCTGGTGCAACTTGAGGCCATGTCCTCTCATCCTGTCATCAGTAATTTGGGAGAAGAGACCAACACCAGCCTCACTACAACCTCCTTTTAGGTAGTTGTAGAGAGCAATAAGGTCTCCTCTCAGTCTTCTCTTCTGCAGACTAAACAACCCCCGTTCCCTCAGCTGCTCCTCACAAGGCAGTTTTCCAGCCCTCTCACCAGCCTCATTGCCCTTCTCTGGACCCGCTCCAGCACCTCCATGTCCTTCTTACCCTGTGGTGCCCAAAACTGGACACAGTGCTCAAGGTGCAGTCTCACCAGTGCTGAAACCATGGTCATCCATAATTCAGTAAATAGGATTGTACAAAGTTATTCACAAAGTACATTGCCATTTACCTCTCTAATTTTGCAGCGGAAATGCCTATGACTCAGCTTCTTTAATGCCAATTTTGGAAAATTAAAGTGATTATTTACTGTAGGTTCCTTTTTTCTGCATAGCCAGTTGGTAAAAATAGCAATTATATGGAGTATTTTTCCTTTCTTTTAGTATCAGAGATGCAGGCTCTGGGACAGATTACACGAAGAGCACATAAATGCAGGACGAACAGTTCAGGTAAGGATATTTAAAAAAATGTGATATTAATGGAATTAAATTACATACATAGTGCTGGATACCTCAGGGATGGATCTTTACAGAGACATATGTTTGACAGGTGGACTTGAAAAGTACATGGTGTTGCTTTACTTCATTTAAAATGTAGTGATTTCCTAATTGTTTCCTGTAAGGCAAATAGGGCGAGAAATGTTTCAGAATTCTTGAACAAACAAAAGTTTGGAGGCTGTGGTCTTTTGCAAACTATCCTCTTAATGTTACTGAACTAGAGGACAGGAACTGCAATAAGGGATACTGTTAATTTTAAAGCATGGTTTCAGACCAAACACAGAACATCTGGACTACTGGTTTGGTGTGCAGAACTTTTGTTAGATGCATAATATCACCAAAGGAGGAAATACCAGACACATGGACAGATTTTTCAGCATGGCATCATCTCAGTAACTTTATGCAGAGTCACCCATAACTCAGCACACAGGGAATCTCACATGTGTTTCTAAAAAAAGGCATGTGTTCATGAAAATGATGCAAAAGCTGATGTCAGAGGTCAGCCTTCACACTGCTAAGTACCACACAGCCAACGAAGATCATCAGCACAGAAACGTACAACAACCAGATCTGCACTGCAGAGTTTGCTGATGCAGATAGGGCAGCTGCTGGTTATAATACACTGTGCTGGCAAAATTCTGGGGGGGAGAGGTGTCTATGCCATCAGAAGAGGCATCTTGAGTTGGTTTCATAGGTGGTGTTCAGAGGTTGGACATGACTTAGTTGCTAGAACAAACCGTCTGTGACCTATACTGCGTCTCGCCAAGCAGGCTTTACCAGCAAGGGCAGCACAGACCTAAATCACTGTATTTTGTAATCCTAATACTGTAAATTCCCATGTTTGCTGCAATGCCTTACTGACTCCTGTGGGAAATAAAACCAGACTGAAAATGGAAAAAAAACCAAAACACCTCAGAAGGAAGAACTTAATCCTGATTGAACAACAGAGTAGACAGTAGGCAGCGTTATGGAGGTATCTATCTTTTTAAAGGAATGCAAGGTGTTAATTAGCTTTTTTAGTGTAGATGATAAGAAGTTACTTATGAAATCCCCTTGAATTTTTTGTTATTTGGAGGCTTGAATGTTTCTTTTGATTTTTCAGCAAATATTTTTGAAATTCGAATATAAATGTATTCTTGATATCTAAAGAGTCTTCCAAAGGCCAAAGCCCTATTAAAACAGTGGCATTCTGATTCTATGTGTGATGTAGTAAGCATGTGTTTGCTTATGTCTGCTCAAATCTATTTCACATCTGAGGGGTAGGAGAGGCTTCTCTTGGAACACTTTTATTATCAGTACCATTTGTTTAGCAAGACCAAATCCATCAATAATTAAAGAAAAAGTAATCATACTGAAGATGATGTTTTTAAATACTGTGTTTTAGTAACAAAACCTCATACTTGTCTCTAGAAACACTGATATTTGTCTTGAACCTAAAGTCTGCCATTTTCACTTGCAGCCAAAATAAATCTTCTTCTATTTTATTTAATGCGTATTATTTTTAGATCTGGATACAAGTTTTACATTAAAGTGGTCCACATTCTGATATCCAGAGAGCAGAATAAGTATCTAGGTCCATACAAGAAGAGTAGACTAGCTCTCTGGTTTAATTAAATAGTTAGGAGTCCGGAGTGCTTGATAATAAATTGTATGACATGTAGAATGTGTTTGCTGTAAGCTGTTTAAATGTTTACCAATGGACTTGTGATCTGTTTGTTTGCGAAGAATTCACATTAATTATTGTGATACCAAATGTTCTCTGCAGCACACACTTTACTCTCAAAATTAGATGTTGTAAAAATACATTAGGAATCCCTAAGTCAATATTGACCCAAGGCATCCGCCACAGGTTTTAGACAAATATATGCACAGCCACTCTACATTTAATCCATGTGCACATAATTAGCCATTTTTCTGAATTTTCAGTTTACCCAGAATAATTACTTCTGTTGTACTTTTGATGATGGTCAAAATTATAATAGAAGTATTGATGGGCTTAAATGCATAGGTCTTCTTTCTGGTGACTGGATACCATATCAAAAGGTTCTAAAAAGAAAAGTGAAGAAACCAGGGAAATCTTTGTATAGGGCATGATGACACCCTTTCAAAAATACTGAGAAAATCTCTCTTCTATACCACGTTAAGTTTTCACAAATGTGCTCTTGCAGATTTTAATTCTTTGGGACGGTCTGTAGACTTAAAATGTTGGGGCCTGAATAAATAGGCAGTTTTGTTAGGCTTTGCCCACGTATATGCTGACTGTGCCATGCAGTTTGTTCATTATTGCAAGATTGAAGCTGATTTCAGTGCAATGGCAGCATTTTGTTGTAACACCTGAGGACTGCTTCGATCATCGTTGTAGTGAGAAAAAGAAAAATGCCTCAGTTACTAGAGAGGATATAAAGCACTGAACAAAAAAAAAGGACAAATACTGTGCATGGTTGATCCAGCTTTAGTGTGTTCATGCCACAAATGGAGACTTTGTTCTGCAAAACATACCTAGTCAGATGTACACTAGCTGTAACCAGGAAAGCTACTGGAAAAATGTTAATTTTTTTTTTTTTTTTTTTTTTTTTTTTTTTTTGTCCTTTTCACTTTTATGATTTCCATTTCAACTGAAAATGGCTTTGGTATAGTTTTCAGTCAGCTCTCTTTTGCGTAAATCTTCAGAGCTTATTTGTATGGCTTGTGTCTTCTGTACCATCTTTTAAATGATGCCTTCTTCAAGTTGAGTGTCTTCCTGGAATACTGCACAAATACACCAGGAGATCATGAGAAGCAGGGCAGATGAGTTTACTGCTGCAGGAGGTTGTTTGTGGTATCAATGAAGGGTCATATAAAATCAGCTCACTATTGCAGCCTGTGGCCATCTTCAGGGTAAATATAACTTCAAACTCAGAGTTTCTTTGACCTATGCCAAGAAATTTGTAACCTATATCCTTTATGACGTTATTTGGAACAAAGTCCAGAGAAGGGAAGACACCATTACATTTGCACAGCTAAGCTACTGCAAAACTTTCTTCAAAATCATATTTATGTTTGAGAGGGTTTGAGGTGGTGGGTTTGTTTTGAGGCACTATTTACTTCTTGATATAAAACATGCAGAATGGAGGGACAGTTTACACATGGAAGACAGTAGATAGAGAGAAAAAGGAACTGATCTGTTGGACATGACAGATCCTGTATCATCCATGTACTATTTCAGCATGAAAAGTTTAAACTATTGGCAAATGTATATGACATCACATTTAATGATGATACAACCAAGAAGAAGAAAAAGGGAATGATGGTGGCAGAGACTGAGTGTGATAATGGGGTGACCACCATGACTTGGTTAGCTGGTAGTGTTAGGAGCAGTACAGGCTGGTGGGGGTAGAGTGAAGTGCTGGAGTTCTGGGTGCTCTAGGAACATTAGTTTTGCCAGGGACATGTAGCTGAAGCAGATACCTAAACTCCAGTTTTCAGGTAGCTGTTGCTGGTGGCCTAGGTAGAACTTCTGATATTTCCATAACTGGTTGAGGTACCAGATGTTACATGGAAATATTCCTGCACCTCAAGTCCCTGCTGCTTTTCCAAGCGTTTTGGTCCCATCTAAGCCCCGTGACATTTGTACAGGGTGGAGCCACACAGACCTGGTGTTTATCCTGGTGCCTCATGTTAGGCCAGGACTGAAGCAGTGAGGTGCCCTCATGCCTTTTGTTCCCGCCTCCTTTCCTTAGCTCGGCGTGTTGGGTGTCCTTCGCCGCGCACCGTGCAGCACAGCCCAGGCTCTCTCCACGGCACCGTGCTGCACCTTGCTGGGTGCCTTTGCCTACAGTTGAGTAGGAATCCCATTATTTCCTTCTTTGCTGTCATCTGAAAAACTCCTGCTCAAAAATGAAGCATTGTTAGTCTTTTGTATGAATAAGGTTTATTGCTTTGCTGAATATTGCTGTTAAGACTTTCCTTTTTTCAAAAAAAGAAACTGCTTTGAAAGCATTATTAGCTCATCCCTAACTCACCGTTGTCATTGTTTCACAACATGTTTTTGTTTGGCAAGTTGTTTTTTTTTACCAACTTATTATGCTGTTCTAAAAGCATAATAATAATTTTGTTTCCTGAAACAAAACAGGAGGATCAACTTCACTGAGTCTTCTGCATCGATATAATTCTCACAAAACAGATAATTAAATGTTGTGTCTGGACAATCTAGATTGTCTTTGAAATGAAATTCCGAGATTTTATAAACTGATAAATTTGGCATGTGGTGGACTGTGACAGTGATGGCATTCTCCCTTTTTTAGTACTAACAGGCAGACTGTGGGAGGAAGAGAACAGGAACAGCAAGGTAGATTAAGATGAGAAATTGTATGAGGAAAATTATTTGGTACCATGTTTCTAATTCAACTTAATATCTTACAGAGTTATTTTTTTGTATCTCCTTTTTTTTTAATGTTGATCAGTGGTTTTACCTGGGGTTAGCCTTAAATAATGCAGCCTAAATTGGCTAGTATTGCTCTTAATTTAAGCATACAATAGAATATACTGTTAGTAATTGGACAAATGATTTTTATGAATCACTAGTTCTTTCTTTGGTTGCTTAATATGGCTCATGCAGTATTACTTCAGTTTGTTGTTAAATTAAATTCCTTCTCTAATTATAGTTCTATTTTTTTTTTTAGTATAAAGTTTAAAAAAATAATTCTACTAGTATATAGAAATAAAATAAGTCCCATCTAGTTCATGCTTTTCCAGGTAAGCAATACTGCCTTTCTAAGGCATTACCTGTTCCTGGTTTGTGTTACTGAAGAAAACTTCTCTTTTTCTAGGCAGACTGTGGTGTTAATCCATTCTCTCTTTCTGCTGTGAAAAAAATATTAAAACCAACTGGGAATAGCACTGGGTCACTAAATAGCAGAGGCTGGGAGACCCAGGATGGGCCCAAGGGGAGGATTCGCTGCGTTATTGGAGGCATGGGTTTTTACAGCATTTGGGGTCATCTTTGGTAGGTGAACCAGCTGCAGTCAAACTGCAGTCTGGAAAAGGGAATGGATCTAGAGGAGAGGTGACCTGGAACATGGGGACTGCTTGAAACGTGGGACTTCTGAAGGGTTTTGTTGGCCTTAGTTTATTAAAACTTAGAAATTGCGCTTTTTTATTGTTTAAAGACAATAAAAATGATAGTTGCTTTCCAACTACTGAAGGTGTCTGGTGCTTTTATGTAGTAAAGTACAAAATAGCTCTTCAAACTGTTACAGCAACTCCGTGCCAATATGAGGGAGATGGAGAAACTCTGCGTGCGGGTCCGACAGGAAGACGTCCCAGCTCTGCAGAGAATGATCGATCCCGTCAAAGAGCAAGCTTCACTTGCCATAAGAGAATTCCTGCAGCTCCATTCTCAATCTGCAGAAGAACTTAAAAGGCAGCTTGAAGGACAGGAGGATGCCTCTTTAACCAGATCTGTAACTGTAGGAGGAGGTAGTAGAATTTAATTTCTCTATCTATTGCATCTGTTGTGTTCAGTCTGCAGCTTCTCTCACCAGATATAAGTGAAGTAAACAAATGAGATTTCAGTTGAAAAATAATTGTTAATCAAGCAATGGTTCTCTTTCCC